GGAGAACTCGGGACGGACGGACACCAAGGATCTCCGTTCACCCCCGAGATACAGGATCAGGCGATCCCGCCACACTTCCGCCTCCCTTCCCTGGATGCGTATGATGGCGCAACCGACCCCGCGGACCACGTGGCCGCTTTTCGGGCCCAGATGGCGCTGTTCGGGACTTCAGACGCCCTGATGTGCCGGGCGTTCCCGACGACCTTGCGAGGACCAGCCCGCGCATGGTACAGCGGCCTGAAGTCAGGAACCGTCGCCTCCTTCGACCAGCTCGCCAAGGATTTTGAGCTTAACTTCCTAGCGTACGCCCGACCGAAGCCATCCATGGCGTTGCTCCTAGGGCTCAACCAGAAGGAGGACGAGCCCCTTTCTCACTTTGTGAACCGGTTTACGATGCAAATCCGTGGATTACCGGATGCTCACCCCTCTCTCTTGATGCAGACCTTTATGATTGGTCTGCGGCCCTCCAGGTTCTTCTGGTCGCTTGTGGAGAGACCCCCCGTCGCGGTCCCTGAGATGCTCCAACGGGCCAGCCAGTTCATTGCCGCAGAAACCTGGATGATTGGAAAGCGAGAAGAACACAGAAAGGTCAAGTCGGAACCGCCCTGACAGCAGCAACCCACCACCTCCCGGCGAAAGCTGGACAGGCCTGACCCCAGGCCCCCTCTTCCCGCCTTGAACTCTTCCCGGACGGAGATATTCCTACACGAAAAGGGGAAGGGGCTGCTCAGGGACCCCCACCCCATGAAGAACCCGCGAGAGCTCGCAGATCGCTCAAAGTACTGCCGATTTCATCGACAGCACGGGCATGACACGGAGCAGTGTTACGAGCTGAAAAGACAAATCGAGGAGCTCATCCTCAGAGGCCATCTCGGCCAGTACCTCCGGCCGAGCAAAGAGCAGTCTCCTCGTCCGGAGGGCCCCGTTGAGCGACACATCGATGTCATAGCCGGGGGCCCCGCATCCGGAGGAAGTTCTATGTCGGGCAGGAAGGCCTACGCCCGGGCCGCCCCCGATGAAGCCTCGGGACGTGAGCCTGAGCCCGAGATCACCTTCCCAACCGGAGTCGCTGAGCGACCCCACCACGACGACGCCCTGGTAATATCGGCCAGGGTAGCCAACGCGCAAGTAAAAAGAATCATGGTCGACACGGGGAGCTCGGCCGACATACTCTACTTTGGCGCCTTCTAGAAGCTGGCCCTAGCCAGGGAAAATTTAAGCCCTATGTGTTCGGCACTCACCGGCTTCACGGGAGATTCGATATCGCCTCTGGGAGCCATTACCCTCCCTCTGACTCTGGGAACCCCGCCGAAATCAAAGACGGTCATGACCACCTTTCTGGTAGTCGACCTTCCCACCGCTTATAATGCCATACTTGGCCGGCCAACCCTCAACAAGGTCAGAGCTGTCGTCTCGACCTACTACCGGACCGTCAAGTTCCCGACTCGGGAGGGGGTCGGGGAAGTCACCGGAAGCCCCCAAGAGTCCAAGCGCTGCTACCTTACCTCCGTCTCATTGGGCAAAAGGGCCAGGGGAGAATCGCCTCTAGAAGATCCCCGGGAGGCAAAGAGGCCGGCCCCTCACCCTGGGCCGAGGGGACCCACTGCTGACATCCCCTTACGGGAAGCACGGCCGGATCAAACGGTCAAGGTCGGCTCAGAGCTACCCGAGCGAGAACTGGAACAGCTCGTCGGCCTTCTACGGGAGAATGCCGACATCTTCGCCTGGTCCCCATCGGACATGAAGGGAGTCGACCCCAAGGTCGCGGAGCATCATCTCAACATCCCACCTGACGCCCGACCGGTAAAGCAAAAACCCCGTCGCCACGCACCTGACCGGCAACGTGCCATACAAGAGGAGGTGGACCGACTCTTGGCGGCAGGCTTCATAGAAGAGGCCAAGTATCCTCAGTGGTTGTCCAATGTAGTCCTCGTGAAAAAACACAATGGAAGCTGGAGGATGTGTGTTGACTACACTAGTCTCAACAGTGCGTGTCCTAAAGACTGCTACCCCCTCCCGAGGATCGACCAGCTGGTTGACGCAACAGTAGGGCACGCGCGCCTCTCTTTCATGGACGCCTATTCAGGATACAATCAGATCAGAATGGCGCCAAAAGATAGGGAACACACGGCTTTCCTCACCGATCAAGGGATATACTTCTACAGGGTCATGCCGTTCGGGTTGAAAAATGCCGGAGCTACATACCAGAGGACAGTAAACAAGATGTTTGCCCCCCAAATCGGGAGGAACATGGAAGTCTACGTGGACGACATGATTGTGAAAAGCAGAGAGGCCGGGACACACCTCGCCGACCTAACCGAGGCCTTCGACACGCTACGCAAGTTCGGCATGCGGCTCAACACCACGAAGTGCGCTTTCGACGTCACCTCCGGGAAATTCCTGGGGTTCATTATACACCAGAGAGGAATCGACGCCAACCCGGAGAAAGTACAGGCAATAATCGATATGCAGTCCCCCCGGACAGTTAAAGACCTGCAGCGACTCAACGGCAGACTCGTCGCCCTGTCTCGCTTCCTCGCCCGATCGGGCGATCGCTGCCTCCCTTTCTTCAAGGTGCTCAAAGACCCGAAAAACTTCCAATGGACGTCGGAATGCGAGGAGGCTTTGAAACATATGAAGCAGCACTTGGCCACCCTCCCTCGACTCGCCTCTGTCTTCCCCGGCGAAAAGCTAGGGCTCTATCTGGCGGCCTCCCCGTACGCGGTTAGCTCCGTCCTCGTCAAGGAAATCTCCGGCGCATAGCTCCCGATCTACTACGTTAGCCACGTCCTGAGTGGACCCGAGGAGCGTTACCCGTCGATAGAAAAACTCGCACTCGCCCTGGTGCTCTCAGCCCGGAAGTTGCGCCCCTACTTCCAGGCACACTCGGTGGAAGTCGTCACCGACCAACCTCTCCGGCAGATCTTAACAAAGTTCGATGTTGTAGGTCGGCTTCTCCGATGGGCGGTGGAGCTCGGTGAGCATGACATCAGCTACGTAGCCAGGACCGCCATCAAGGCCCAGGCGATAGCCGACTTCATCGTGGAGCTAGCTCGGGTGGGCAAAGACCTCGAGCGAACTCCCGAGGCTTGGACCCTACACGTGGACGGCTCGGCCAACTCCGGGGGCGCCGGAGCTGGGCTGGTCCTTCTCGCCCCCGACGGACGCTCATTCGATCGCTCCCTCCGCTTCGGGTTTAAAGCCACCAACAATGAGGCGGAGTACGAAGCCCTCCTAGCCGGATTGAGGCTGGCCCTCGAGATGCAGGTGGCCGCAATACACGTCCTCACTGACTCGCAACTCGTGGCCGAACAGCTCAGCGGAGGATACGAGGCTCATGACGCAACCATGGCCAAATATCTGGCGCGGGTAAGGGATCTAACCACGAAATTCCCTTACTTTACATTGTCTAACATTCCGAGGGAGGAGAACGCACGGGCCGACGCGCTCGCTAAGCTGGCGTCGAGACGAACCCCCGAAGCGTGGTCAGAGATAGAGGAGCTTCCCGCTCGCGCCATTGAGGTAGCTACCACGGCCCCAGGTAGTACGCCGACCACGTGGGTGCAAGAGCTGTTGCGCTTCAAGCGAGATGGAGCCCTCCCCCTCGACGAAGTCGCAGCTCGGCGTCTGCGCCGCACACACGCTTGGTACACCGAGGAAAGTGGCCGGCTGTACAGACGATCCTTCACCTACCCCCTCCTGAGGTGTTTGGAGCCTGACGAAGCCCAGACCGTCCTGGCTGAAACTCACGAGGGGATCTACGGCGAACACATTGGCGGGCGGACCCTGGCGCACAAGATACTTCGCCAAGGTTACTACTGGCCAACCATGTGTCGAGATGCAAAAGCTTACGTGCAGCGGTGCAGCTCGTGCCAGCAACACGCCCGCGCACCCCGACAACCTGCGGTCCCCCTCAGTCCCATCGACTGCGCATGGCCATTCGCCCAGTGGGGACTGGACCTCCTCGGCCCCTTTCCACCGGCCTCTGGACAGCGGAAGTATATAATCATGGGAGTAGATTACTTCACGAAGTGGGTCGAGGCCGAGCCGCTGGCTACGATGACGGAACACCAAATAGAGAAATTTGTCTGGAAAAACCTTGTGACCCGGTTCGGGTTGCCCAGAGCCATCGTCACCGACAACGGACCACAGTTCGCCGGCACGAGGTTCCAGGAGTTCTGCGCCGGTCATGGCATTCAGCTGAGGTTCAGTTCGGTAGCCCACCCTCAGACGAACGGGTTGGTCGAGGTGACCAACCGATCCATCCTGGAGGGCCTCATAAAAAGAGTATCCACGGCCCGATCGACCTGGGCGGACGAGCTCCCTAGCGTGCTATGGTCGTTGCGCACCACCCCCAAGGCCGCGACCGGAGAATCCCCCTATAGCTTGGCTTTCGGAACTGAGGCCGTCCTACCGCCCGAGATGACTGTCGCCACGCTTCGAACGAGGAACTATGACCAGGAGGCCTCGAACCAGGGACTTCGCGCCAACCTCGACGTACTCGAGGAGCGACGTACTGATGCACACCTGAAAGCCCTCTCTTACCAAAGAGCCGTCGCAAGGGTCTACAACAGAAGGGTGCGACCCAGGCCAGTCAGGTTAGGCGATCTAGTCCTACGAAGAGCCGAAGTCAGCGACCCAACTCGGGCGAGGGGGAAGCTGGCTCCCAAGTGGGAGGGACCTTACCGGGTTACCGGCGTGGTTCGACCAGGTACTTATCGACTCATCACAATGGACGGTTCCTCTATGCCGAGGACATGGAACGTCCAGAACCTTAAGAAGTTCTTCGTCTGAGGCCAATGCCCCGGCTCCCAAGTCGAATTTGTGCAATTCAATTTCCGGAGCTTAAAAGACGCTTTTATCCACGAAGCATGGGATTACAAGACTCAACTTTCAAAGCAGAAAGACGTATTGGAACGAAGTTTTCTTTATAAGGCAAGGTGTTACAACCGCAGCCAGACCCGAAGGTCACAAAAAGTACAAAGTACAGAAACTGCTCGGCTGAGCTGACCTCCGGGCCACCTTAACCGTCTGATCCTCCCATGCCATCATCAAAGGGAACTTCCTCCGGCATGTCCACATCCAAATCCTCAGGATGCGAGACAAACGGATCCGTCTCCACTTCCAGCCCGGGATGGCTCGTCTGGAACCGGCCAAGGGCGATCCGGTACCCGTACTCATAGGTAACCTGCCCCGACCGAGCCAGCCCGAGCTGGAAGCCCGGGAACTATTTATAGGCCTCGATTATTTCCTTCTCCTTCTCCGGCCGCCGCTCCCGCTCGGCCACCAGGGCGTCGGAAGCCCCCTTCATGTCAGCCAGTGCGTCCTCCAACCGTTGGGTCAGGACGGCTGCCTCGCCTCGGGCCAGACGAGCCTCGGACTGAGCTCCCTCCAAGAGTCCCCGGAGATCGCTTTGCTCTTCCTCGGCCGCCTTCGCCTCGGACCTTAAGCGAAGGACCTCGGCCTCCAACGATGACACGCGCTTGTCGGCCATCGTCGCCTCAGCCCGGAGACGCGTCGCCTCCGCTTCGAGCTCTGAGGAGCGCTGCTCGGCCGCTGCAACCGCCTCCGGAGCCGCCCCGGCCCGAACCTCCTCGAGCTGCTTGCGCAACTCGGCATTGCGCTCGCACAAAATTCCTAGGGCCCGACCCGCATCGCGAACG